CTCACCACTGTTATACTCTCATACACACACTAATATGATACTATATCCCTGATTTGCACTTTAGTAGGTAAGGTCATCTTAAGCTGTTTATTGTATCAGCAGTTATTCTATTTATCTTGTATGTCATCCTCCTCGTCTTGATATACCCATTTATGTGTATTTATATAGAGTCTCATAACAATGCATAACTAAACACAAAGGCTCCAACCGTAATGATACTTTATCATTTCAAGTACTTATGGATTTGTGTGTTTCCTTTGGTTAAGGGCACCCCCCCCCCTCCCCGCTTGAGTCAGGTGCTCGCGCCTCTGTTAATAATTATAAAACTATATCCCTAAACAGTTTTTTAAAGGGCTTAAGAGCGTTGTTCTGCCACTAAAGTAAAATCATCTCAATCTTTCCTCAATTTATAGAAGAAAAAAGGTAATGGATGGCAGTTTCTAAACATTTGCACCCAAATTTTCCATTAAAATTGGTATCAATTACTGATTTTCTATAAACATTAACAGACAAAAAAAGGAAGTAGCAAAATACTAAAAAGAATTAAAAACAATTGATCATAATTATGCTTAGTTTGAGAAATGGCTTTAGTTTGTGGATGCATGTATTTGTAATTTTATCCCTTCTCTTTCACATACACACAATTTTATTCTATCTTCTACCAAAAAATAATAATAATTCTTATGTCTTAGGAGATAAAATTAAGCAGAGCAGTGTTCTATGTTCTTCTACAAAGATCACAATGACTTTCAAGTGTTGCGCTGCTTAAACTAATTTTAAAACTATAGCAATAAAAAAACATCAAATAACTGGAAATAATAAGTTGTACTTTTATAAGAATACTAGGAGCCCAGTGCATGAATTCGTGCACCTTGAAAGGAACTATGGGCTGCGAGGCTGTGGTAGGCACAGGGGTAGGTCTCGGCCCATCCTCCACGCCCTCACCTGGCCCCTTCTGCTGTGGCCTCTGGTCCCGTCTGCTGGCAGCCCCACTCCCACTGCTGCCACTCCCACATGCTAACAGCGCTGGCCCCGGCTTGCACCTGCTGATAGCCCGGAGCGATTGGGGCTGGCACCAGCAGTGGGTGTGAGCGGGGTCAGTGCTGGTAGTGGGTGTGAGCAGCAGCTCCAGTGCTGGCAGCGGGTGCAAGCAGGGCCAGCACTGGCAGCAGGTGTGAATGCCGGGTGGGACTGCGGTGCGCGGAAACAAAGAATTTTCAGTAACCACCAGAGGCTCGCCACAATGACAGTGACTGGCGCCTCGCCTTGGTCTGGCGTCCCTGCTCACCTGCTCAACCATCCTGCCATGGCCAACACCTGCCATGTTCTGCACATGCCCCCTGGTGGTCAGCACATGTCACAGCAACCGGTTGTTTGGTTGCTCCAGTTGTTATACTGTTGATTCTGTTTGCATATTGGCCTTTTATTATATAGGATATCTGCCCATTAGCACATTATTACTACTGTTATTTTCTTACTAACAGTAATAGCTCTGAATTATTAAGTATCACCAGTGTGCTAGGCCTTTTACATATATTTTTAAATCTGTTAACAAAACTTTGAGCATTGGTCAGTGTGTTCAATGGTTAGAGCATTGGCCCTGGCACCAAAGGGTCTCGGGTTCAATTCCTGGTCAAGAGCACATACCTGGGTTACAGATTCAATCTCCAGCCCTAGTCAGGGTGCACGTGGGAGGCAACCAATCAATCTGTTTCTCTCACATTGATGTGTCTCTCTAACACATATTCTTTCTTTCCTTCTTTCTCTCTTTGTCTCTGCCTGTCTCTCTCTCTCCACCACCCCTCCCTTCCACTCGCTCTAAAAACAAATCAATGGAGCCTGGTCAATGTGGCTCAGTGATTGAGCATCAACCTATGAACCAGTAGGTCACAGTTCGATTCCTGGTCAGCACATGTTAGGGTTTCAGAGAGCCACATGTGGCTCACGAGCCGCAGTTTGCCGAGCCGCATTTTACCGACCACTGATCTAGCCAATTTAATCACAGCACACAAAAATTATATTGACAATTTTTCACTACTACTAAACTCCATTGTTAATTATTATACTCAGTGAAGGATATTTCAAATTTCAGATTTCAACTGGCTATCAGAATTCAGATATGCATGCCAATGGGACAATTCTTTTTTTTTTTTTTTTGAGATTTCTGCCACAAGCCTTACACAGATCAGAGATATCCATGAAACTCAAGAGCAAGAAAAAAAATGAACTTAATACTGGGTGAAACAAAATTAGAAAAATGCACATTATCTTTAAAAGCCATGTTAACACTCTGAAAAAAGGCAAGAGTAAAAAGTAGTCTTTAAACAGGTAACAGAAAAGTAGAATTATGATAATCCAAAATTTGCGAAATGAATATTGGGAAGAAAGTATGATTTTTTTCCTATATTATGGCAGGAAAATTTATTTTTAAAAAGTATGCATATGAATTATAGCTGCTATACTGATAAAAGGTTGGAGTACAATTACTTGAGATGAAAATATAGTTGAACTTTTTTAGATTCAATAACTGAGGTTTCCTCCTACCCACCTTAATTTTATGTAGTTCAATACTGAAATCCTTCAGTTTTCTATTTCATTCTTGAGGATAGATTAGTACCAAAAGCTATTTTATGCCACACAAAAAGAAGGCAACGTTTTATCTTTAGTTCCGCCATGCTTCAAATGATTAAGTATAAAAAAGCATGAAATTCAATAA